TGAAATATCGCGATATTTCAGTGTATCGATATTTTCTTACACCTCTAATTTACAGTTAAATCCTTAAATTTCAAGTCACTCATTATGTACCTTTTTATATTTCATACCAACAGTCTTTTTACATTAACATTTTCTGGGGAATGTTTTTCTTTTGTTGCATATAAAATTCTTAGGATAATATTTGGCTGGTAAATAATCTCCATCTATTGATATATGTGACCTTTATTGTGCAYTACAGCATGAATGCACCTGCCTGGCTCATGAATACAATCAACTGATTTTAAGCTTTGCCACCTTGACAAGATATGCCAGGAACTGTTTGAAGTTTTTGTCCTCTGTTTTGTTTATTGTTTGTTTTTCATTGCCAGTACATGAGCTACTAAGACATTAGTCATAGCCTGCTAAAGCTTTGTTTGACAATGTGATGTGACATTAGTTAGTRCCACGGCACAAATGCGTGCCAACGACTTCCAGTGATGACATGTCAGTTTTGCTGGTTTGGCTGGTCCAAGACTCAGCCCAGTCCACCCATAAGCCACAGCCCTGAGAAGAGGAACAACAACTGTTGGTTCCACTGTGTGCAGTGTTGACTTTAGTGCTTGGAAATATGCCATCAATGTCATAAAAAAACGCATAAGGAAATGTGYTGACTGTCCTAAAGGAAACTTTAAATTAGTTAGAAGGGTTATGTGGAGGGAAACAAGGTCACAACTGTGCAATAAAAACAAGAATGGTGTTTGAAAAGGCTGCATCCCCTGTSTACCTCATATACAAGCCCAAATAATGAACAAGTGAATGAGCCTCATCTTGTTTTTTTGTGATTGACGAATTAAGCAAACCTCTGTCAGATACTCCAAATATTACGTAGAAATAATAAAAAAATGTGCCTGAAGATAGGCCGTTTAAAATGTGTCTGTGGTTCATTTGACATTTCATTTTAATGCTGGAGTCATTTAGTTTTTGTACATTAACAGCAACAAAACAAAAAAAAAACCTTTGAAATCTGTCAGAGAACTGAAATGAAATAATTAAAATAATGGAAACAAAAAGGTCTTCAGAAACACTTTTAATTTATGAAGGATGACTCATTGCAACGTAACTTTGACTAATCCAAAACAAAACTAGRAACAACAAAGCTCAGAGTATCAAATTATTGACAATGAAAAAGAAACTTACTAGGGAAGAAAACCACAAAAGCATCCTCTATTATGTCACCCTACAGCCCAGGCTCTGAAAAACATTGCACTTCCCGTTTCTGTTGATTCCTTTTGTTTGATGCTGAGCTCTTGACAGTTTCTTCGTTTTTACTTCTGGATGACTGTGCTTTAAAAAATGTAGACATGACAGGTGAAGTTTGTCAGCTGACTAGAACTGAAATTTGGAGTCTCTGACAGCTCTACAGATTTTTGTTTGTCTAATGTTTTAAAGTTGGATTATTCCTGAGATTATATTTGGATTTAGTAACCACACTATTCTGGTTAATATACAGTATAAATCAAGGAATAAAGACTTTATTATGAAACTGTATGTAAGTTTCCATTGTTGTTATAGTAAAAAAATATTTTTTTCTCCTGTTTCTGCTCCCCAGAGTTCGGCATGAACGAGGATCTGAGGAAGATGGAAGCAGGAGGAGTTTCCAGCCAAGACCTCTACGTCAAACGTCAGTATACTATCTCTCCTGCCACTCGTTATCATATACAGCAGATCATCTCTTCTTCTATGGGTGACTGGCACACAATTGTTGTCTCTGTGTGTTAAGCGTATCCAGATAAAAGGAAGAAATGTGGACTTTAACACACAGCAGATGGAAAGCATGTTTGTAGTTTCTCAATCCTACTTAATCTCTGTCTGCTGTTCTCATCTGTTGTTCATTTATCAGCACCAGTTTTCAAGAACATTTGCTTTAAAAAAAAAACAGCTTTAACAAAACAACCAAYCACATCTGGTAGCTTTTTAAATGAGCTATTTTGACACATTAGTTTATTCATGAAGGCGCTGCTCTAGGCTGAGCCCAGCTTGGACCACGGCTGCTCTACACAAACCTGCATTGTGCCTGTGCAGGTGTCAGTCCGAGGGTGAAGTCGGGTCGCTTTATGAAGCTCCTCCCTGACTATGAGAACATGGACTATAAAGACGTGTACACACACTGTATGTACATGCTGCAGCATAATAGCTTGTGTGTGTGTGTGTGTGTGTGTTGTGGGGGGGATTAGCAAACACACAGTTAACAGTGTTCCACTTCCTGTGGTAATGGTTCATGTCTTGGTACATTGACTCAGCATTGTTCGCTTGCATATTAACTCTGAATTCGAAGGGTAAATTATCTGGTGTGCTGTTCCATAACTCGCGTTTTCATCCTCTGGTTTACAACTTGCAAATCAAAATATTACGACTGGCTTTAACTTCACGTTTTGCAAGCTTGACATTGCACAAGTTATTCCCAGCAAACAAAGAGCATAAAGAGCGTAAAAACTGATGTTCAGGGTGRGTTGTTGTGTTCTTGTGTTGCAGTYCTTCACCCATACAGGCATATTTTGGGCCTGTGGCAGCCTGACATAGGCCCTTATGGTGGATTGCTCAATGTTGTGGTAAATGTTTCACTTAAGAAAGATAAAGCACAAATACTGCAGCATACAGTTTGTTGACCTTGTTTGGATGAAAACCTACTAAAAAAGTGAAACAGACCTTTCTTGACTGATAAAACAAGTTTGATCAGGAAAATTGACTCAGATATTTCATTCAGGTGGATGGGTTGTTCATCATTGGCTGGATGTATCTGCCACCTCACGATCCCCGTGTGGAAGATCCCATGAGAAGGCGACCACTCTTTCGTATCCACTTGTTGGACAACAAAAAGGCCACTGTGGAGTGTATGTATGGACACAGGGGTCCCCACAAAGGAGATATCCAGGTGAGGACAAAAAGAACATAAAMTTCCTAATGTAAGCTGTAAAGAATTAAAACGTTTTCTAGAAACGTATCTTTAATTTCAAGTACATGAAAAGTTCCTCATTTGCTTTATTCTTATATCTTAGACGGTAAAGAAGGATGAATTTTCGACAAAATGTAATCAGACTGATTATCACCGGATGCCAGGAGGCAGACAGGAGGTGGGTTTTTTGTCCTTGGATCTTGATTTTCAAACACTTATAARATTGCTGAATTCCTAAGTACTTCATTGTGTGTATGTCTGTGCAGGAATTTAGAAATTGGTTGGAGGAAGAGTGGGGGCGTACACTGGAAGAAATCTTCCACGAACACATGCAGGAGCTCATCCTGATGAAGTTTATWTATACTAGTCAATATGAGTATGGCTTTCTTTCATGTGGTTGARATCGTTTCACTGAAATGAATGCTCGTGTTTAACAGTTTGAGCTAACCTGTAGTTTTTTTGTGRGCTCTTATCAGTAACTGTTTGACGTACCGGCGGATTTACCTTCCTCCTGCGATGCCCTCGGATCTACTGGAGCCAGGCTTATTTAAAGGCACATATGGTAGTCACGGCCTGGAGATCGTCATGCTCAGTTTCCATGAGACTTCCGCAAGAGCCACTAAACTCACTGTAAGTTTGTGAACATTTACCAGAGTCTGCGCTGTTTTCACTGCACAGTGCGTGCAAACATTTAACAAAAACGTGTTCAATCCTCGTCCTTCATTCAGGGAGACCCGAATGTTCCTGCAGGGCAGCTCACACTGGATATAGACCTGAGTCGACCCGTGGTCCTCCCGGACTTGGAGCAACAGCGCAAAATTGAAGAGCTGTCCCGGATCGTGATGAGGGTACACGATGAAGTACAGAGGGAGGCGGAGCAGCAGGACGACGGCGCCTCCTCGACAGACGGGTGCGCGGCGGAGGGAGCCTGCGGGGGCGCAAGTGAAGCAGAAGCGATGGAGGAAGACCACGGTGCCTCTCCGGACAGCTGCCAGTCGGGCTCCAGCGGGAGGAACAACTCCTCTGAAGCGCTGCCCTTCGTCCTGCCTCTGGGGGTCATGGCTCGCAATGAGGTGTACCCTCGCACCTGCAGGAAATGGTGAGGACTTTGCTTATAGTCTACATAAAATACTCAGTGTTGAAGTCTAAAGGTTTTACTAAATTATCCATGCAGGTTATAACATTTTTCTATAATGCATAGGCCTGTCTTGATGGGCAACATCAGCTATCACATGATAAATTATAAAGAGGTCGATAATTTTCATTTGCCTTTCATTTTTTCTTTGCGTTTCACTCATTTCTACTCATTAGCATAGAGAAAAATGAAATCTCACATCAGGTATTTGACAGGCTCATGGTCTCTAACCTCTAGCAGGAGAGCCCCATGAACAGGCATTTAGCTAAAGGAGCGTSTTCAGTTGTCCGACGCCTTTTATCAGCTGCCCTCAGGGCACCGTGCCAAACCTTGGGTTTGCCGAGTTGTTGRTGTTTTTTTTGTTTCTTACACAACGTAAATTTTGTAAACTTCAAAAACAGCATGTGGGTTACCGCAATTATTTCATGAAYCTATAGGGAGACATAAAAAACAAATTGTGCCAGCTTGGATAGAGGTGGGTAGCGATATTACAYCTTCAGTAGATGTTGATGTGTGTCGTTTTCCCAAACTCCGCTCCTGGTCCAATCAAACCTTTTATTTATGTATGTAAACTTCTGTACACTTCAAAAGCAGGAGGTGGTATAATTAGAATAGTTTAAAATGGTCTCTAAACAATATTATTTATCATAAATTTCTGAGACAGTTTATCATCCAACCAACTTTATTGTGACCAATCTAGCAGTACATCATTAGTGGTCCAGAACGTATCGATGTCTATTGATGATGCAACGTGTCTGTTTCAGCTTCTATGGAACTGGCCTGATTGCTGGGCATGGCTTCACGAGTCCAGAGCGCACCCCGGGGCTCTTTGTGATGTTCGACGAGGACCGTTTTGGTTTCATCTGGCTGGAGTTGAAGTCTTTCAGTCTGTACAGTCGGCTGACGGACCGCCTAGAACACGCTCACGCGCCGAGCATGGAGCGATTTGAGGCCATGCTGCGCAACATGCAGTCTTGGACATCCTGATACATTAAGCTTTAAGCCTCCACCTACATTGCAAGGCAAAGTAACCAATTACATGTGAATCACCTCTGCTAATATCTCATGACCTTAACTCTCCAGGTTCTGTATGTGAAAGGTTTTCATTTGATTGTGCAACCTCCCCTTTTCTCCCTGATCTCGCACACTTTGACCACTTCAGCCTGATGTGACCTTCATCCTCTAGTGCAGCATGATAACGGGTCATAAAAGAATTTATTTATTCCCTGCAGGGAAAAAAAAGCAACAGTATCACTTGTCACTTGTTAAAGAGCAAACTGTATGTGCCTGTGATTCCAAAAGTCTGTACTCAACAGTGCTTAAAGCAGAACGAGGGTGTCTAATGTATTCTGCTATATAAGGGTATTATACCGATTTTAGTGCCCAACATGTTCAAGTGCATGCTGCATTTATTTATTTATTCGTATTGCACTCATAACCACTATCTGAACAGGTTTGTTTTAATTAAGCAGCATGCCTTGCTTTTCTGTTTTTTTGTCTTTTGTTTTTGGCTGTAGAGACATTAAAAAGGACATCTCAGGTGCTTTTCTTGGCTACAAAGCGGGACAACAGTACACATACAACAAAAATTTACATCGAATATATTTGACAGAGAATTTTACTGGTCAGTTTTTCTAACTTTCTGAGCTGCCATCTCATCTAACACTGCAGTTACATCACTTTGCTGACCTGACCAATATATTTTTGCCCTTTGAACTAAAGAGTTATCTTTTGCAGTGATATAGCATTTAATATCACCACACCCAGTATATTTGAGCCTATTATGTAAGATGCAAAGATGTGCTCAAATGCAGTAGAAAGAAGTAACATTTACAAAAGTTGTGATTAATCAAAGTACCAAAACATTTGCTTCTGTCAAAATTTCTCTCATGTTTAGTGGGTTTGTTGTTCCTTTTAATGCCTGACACAGTGTTTGCCTGGCTTTAGTCCTGCAAAGCTTTTACCTCCACTTTCCCCGCAATGAATCCCATCCTGTGACAAGGCGAGCAGATCATTATTCAAACCAACGGCTCAAAGTGCATCTCCAAGTTTCGAGTAAATGTCTGTATGTCTCATTACGGCCTGATGGTAACGCCCGGTAGCTTTTCTACTCCAAGTGCACTTTTCTGGGCAGTTTATAAAATCGTTCACGAATCAGTGGCCAGCCCTTCTCTTTGGTTTTTACCCAGACTTGCCGTTTTTCTAACATTTGCAAAACGAAGTGTCTGCTAAAGCGTCCTTGATTTGTCACTTTTCATTCACTTCATCTCAACCTCTTTATTTATATTCCTCCTGTAAACCCAGCTTTTGGAATAACTTGCCTTTGAAGTGTTGCTTTGTATTGTTATTATAAATGCTATATACAGCTGACTTTATGGAAAATGTAATTTTGAACTTTTGAACTGCTCACATCAGACTTCAGGGAGCTTTTCAGCTTAAGCACTCTTCTCAGTAATAAAAGCGAGAAAATCAAAAGAAATCCTTTTGACAGTTTATTTTTGATGTGTTTCACATTATCATACCAGAAATGTTGAGGATCATAAAGAATTATATTTTTCACAGCTACTTTACTTCAGCGCCACTGTTTAAGTGATTATATTAAAATAAAATGTTGAAAACATACATACATAAACAATCTGTCACTAAACCACCCTGTTCAGTGTGTTTGTGCTTTAGGTTTTGTCAGACTGTAGCCAAAACAACTAATTCAAGAATTCAAATAACACAATTTAACAAATGTTCTCATATTAATATTGAAATAAAAACAGCAGTGCCTGAAGTTATATGCCTATAAACTGATTATGTATTCTGAGGCTACAGATGAATTTATTCCCCCTTTAAAGGCCCGAGTGAATTACAACTCGATATGATCCGTACTCTCTTCATGCTGCTTCCTCTTCTCTGGCAGAGTCTGAGTCACAAAGACGAACCGGTCCCTCTTCAGGCCACGACCAGTTTCCTGCTTCTTCAAATCTATAGCCAGGTATTCTTCCTCTGCTCCATACTTTGGCCAGTGGACCAGGCCGCCTCCGTTGGGAGACCTACGCAAACGTTATTTAGTTTTCATCATCTGCGTGAAACCTGTTGGCATTTAATAAGCAGTAATTCTTACCCTGTGCGAGCAAAGTTGCCCCAGTAGCTCATCATGACTCTGCTCAACTCTTCCTCGTCCTCATGACATGATTCTAAATTGTTGATGACCCAAAGAAACACGTTATATTCCAGAGAGGCTTATCACCCAGTCATAACAGAACAGAAATGGAATAAAACTGCACGTGTTGTAAGGTCATCTTGACTTTATTGCAGTGATTATATCAGATCAAAGGGAGTTGGAAGTATAGGAACACTGCTGTCTATATCAGGAGGGTGTGGCTTTCCCTCAGGCCTGGGTACAAGCTCCTATTCAGTGCAGAAAAATGACACACAGACATTAAATCCCTTTCCTGTGACAAGTTGACCAACAGCTCAAGACTCAGCAAGCTGGCACTGATGATTAAAGAGCTGAAGCGCCTTCACATGTTAAACTGGGGGATGTATTTGGCCACGAGAGGACCTCACCATGACTCGGACAAACAGTCATGACAGCTGTACAGGAGGTCAGATCATCTAGTTTTGTGCAAGTTCACCATGTGACTCTAATCAAACTCCATCAACAGCTGGTAACCCTTTTTATTATGTCTAAAAGGCATGTTCTCTCTGTTTGTCTCTCACACTGTTTTGACTGAGTATTGGACATCCCAGCCATGCCAGCCCATTTCAAATAGAAAATTGTGTCCAAGATGGACCACTCCTTCTGGGTGATTAACTTTTTTGTTTTTGTAGTGAGTATTTGTGGGTTTGTGTAAACGGAACTTACCAAATAATTTAATGTGGTTAGTGGTGAAGCAGAATCCAAACACCGTAAAGAGCTCATCTGCGTGGTCACTCTTAACAAAGCTAGGCCGTTTTTTCTGCAGGAAGTAGGGAGGATGCTGGTACTCGTACAAGTATACAGCAGCGCCTGCGTCTAAGTGTGACAAAACAAGAATCGTACAGTATGTGAAAGTAWTCACCAAACACTAAACTGATTTGCAAAGTCTTTTAAAATAGTTACCTCTGTGAGCATTTGCCGTTTTAATTGCTGGAATAGTGAACAATAAATCGCCGAGCAGCTCGGTGTACGCATCTCTGTTTTTCACTCGGTCTTTGCCGCTGCCAGTATACTCATTTACAATCAGATCTTTTGTCAGTGCGTCTTTGGGCTTTAGGAGAACAGAGAGTGAGGAGTTAAAGCCTGTTAAAGATGATGACCAAGCAAAAACACACACAAAAAAAAACACTATACTGTGTCTTACATTGGGGTAAAAAATGGACAGCATGTTGAAAATTGGCTCTCGGTCCATTCCTTCTGTCCAGTTTGGAGGTGCAAAGCCCTAAAGAAAATAGACACAGCTAATGACAAGCATATCAGATTTGAATGAAAAAAATATAAATATAACATATATTGTTCACCAACATATAATATATATTTACACTGCAGAAAGTCAGCTTCAGTTGTGTGAACTTAATTACCAATTCTTTCAGCACTTACTTCACTAAGAAGGTATCCACCTTCATGATTATTAATGCCAGTCATGAACGGTATAGTGAGGAGTTCATGTTTACGATACAGCTCAGCCGTAGGTTTTTTCAGGAAGTGTCCATTAACATTTATAGGATATTTTAAAATTAGATCCTTGAGAGACAAATAATACATAGAAATTAAAYTATCAACATTGTAAAAAAAAACATCATTAAAACTGTAGATGTACAAAGTATGATGAGTAATAATGGAGCATCTCACCTTCCCTAATTCCACTATGGTGTCAGTATCAAGGTTTCTCAAGCAGTCAGCAGTCTTCTCAGTGTGTTCAAGGTTACAGCCAGAAATGTTTGCAACCATCTGATAACACATATTCTCATTAGAATCATTAAAATGRGCTTTGATATTCTCTAAAAWGTTTTCACAGTAAAACGTTTGACAACTTACATGCCTTACTGGTACAGGATCGTTAAAAAGAAGTGAGTCCATAGCAGCTGTTCCACTCTCAGCTATGGCACGGTGGACCAGCCCATCAGACAGCGGTGAGAGGAGCTGTGCATTCAAACGGGACAATTTAACAAGTTTTTCCTTACAATAACATCATAGACAGCTTTCTTAAAACAGCTTTAARTCCAGATCAATTCGTACCAAAAGGGACACGCTCACTCCACCTGCAGACTCCCCGAATATAGTGACAGAATTAGGATCTCCTCCAAAGTTGTGAATGTGTTCCTGGATCCACTTCAGGGCTTGGATCTGGTCCAAAAAGCCAAAGTTCCCAGAAATCTGTTCATCCTCAGTGCTGTATAAAAARACAAAGTTACAAACTGCTGACACGTGGCAAAGATCTGGATCTTAGTCACAATCTGTTCCAACTGTGCTCAGAACACATTTACCTGAAAAAGCCCAGAAATCCCAGTCGATACTGGACCAGGACCACAACCACATCCTGGTAGGCAGCCAGCGCAGAACCATCGTACAGTGAAGCAGCACCAACAGTTAAGCCTCCACCGTGGATCCACATCATGACCTGGAAATGCATTTAAATGTCTGTATAATGTTTACACTATTGCACTAATTTATGAAGAAAAAAAAAAAAACAATCTGTTTTAACAAGTCTAGATACTGAAACTCATCTGTAGAAAATGCTGCATATGAAAAGTTCTTACTGGGAGCTTGGCATTCTGGGCTCGGTTGGCAGGAGTGTAAATGTTCAGGTAAAGACAGTCCTCTGAAATGCCTGGAATATTTGCTGCAATGTTAAGTTTTCCAAACAAATCTTCAACCATCTTCAGATTCTGAATGCACCTGAATGAGGAGGCGTCGTGTCAGCATTGAAAGCAACATCCTGACTGTGGAGTGCTGAAAGTATCATGTCTTACATGCTGGGCTGCTTGGTGGCGTCTCTGAGTCCCGCCCACTTCTCCGCAGGTTGAGGTGCAGTCAGTCTCAAGGGGCCGACGGGGGGCTTGGCGAAGGGGACACCGAGGAAAGCGTGGGTCCCGGTATCCTTCCCTTTTACACTCACATACTCACCTTTAAGGCTCCCAAGCTTTGTTTGGACTTTTAGTGCTGTCAGGATATACAGATCATAGAAATCAGTGACCAGCCAGAAAACTGCTATCGGCGCACCCCTAATACCTACAATTTATTTAGCCTTACTTAATCATTAACAAATTGCTAGTTAACCTACAAAAATCATTAAAGATGATTAATTCTAAGATAAATTAACACATCCTGATGCATCTTATTAAACCTGGTAGAGAAATCTAAACAAAAAAGTTGAGTAGATCCGTCTTTGTCGAAAAAAATGTTTTGTCTCTTCTCCAAGAGGCTTCTTCAGTTTGAGGAGTTCCAGGTAAACTCAGCCTTGTACTTTCCCAGCTGAAGGTATTTGTATGGTTTTTATTCTTTGCAATTAAATATTCAAGTRTAAATCCACATTTATCCTGGTATACGTCTCGCCTCCGAGTAAAAACGTTTCTTACACTCATATAAATGTACTTTCACACCAAATAYTTAGCTTTTATGGGTAAAGCATTAATGAATGTGATAATTTATAACTTATTAAGTATGAATCATTCTTAAATCATGTTTTCATATTAACTAACCATTTATCAATGAGGCTAAATATATGTTGGGATACAAATAACACATTTTAACAGATGTCTTTTCTTATATTAAAAACCAGGCCATTAAATAGTTACAGTAATTAATATTCAAATAAAATCAGCAGTGCCTGAAGTTATCTGTCCATAAAGTAACAATGTGTTTAGATGCTTTTATTCCCTCTCTACTGTTTAGCTCTCTTTCATTTYGAAATGAGTGAATTATAACTCGATGTGATCCATACTCTCTTCATGCTGCTTCCTCTTCTCTGGCAGAGTCTGAGTCACAAAGACGAACCGGTCCTTCTTCAGGTGACGACCAGCTTCCTGCTTCAAATCAATTGCCAGGTATTCTTCCTCTGCTCCATACTTTGGCCAGTGGACCAGGCCGTCTCCATTGGGAGACCTACACAGACCAACTTTCATTATCTGTGTAATAGTTAAGATTTAATAAGCAGTAATTCTTACCCTGTGCGAGCAAAGTTGCCCCAGTAGCTCATCATGGTTCTGCTCAACTCTTCCTCCTCCTTAGAACATGCATCTACATTGATAAAAAATAAAATAAAAAATAATAAAAAAAATACAGTAACACTTTATATTCCAAACAAGAAAGCAGATACTTGTAGCGTTGTGTTAACTTACCAGGTAATTTCACATGAGAAGTTGTGAAGCACATCCCGAACACCGTAAAGATGTCGTCTCCGTGGTCACTCTTCACAAAGCTTGGCCTTTTTTCCTGCAGGAATTTGGGAGGATGCTGGTACTCGTACAAGTATACAGCGGCGCCTGCATCTAGTAGTACAAAAACAAGTATGATAAAAGTTAAAGTACCCGTCAAACACTATAAATTTGCAAAAACTTTAGAGGAAATACCTCTGTGAGCATTTGCTGTTTTTAGTGCTGGAATGGCGAAGAAGAAATCTCCAAGGAGCTCAGTGTACGTGTCTCGAATTTTCCCTCGGTCTTTGTCAGATTTGACATATTCTTTTACAATCAGGTCTCTGATGAATGCCTCTTTGGGCTTATGAAAACAAACAAAGCCTGTTAAAGAGGACTGAACATGCTAAAAAAAGAAAAAAGAAACACTGACAAATCAGGTACTGACTGTCTTACATCAGGGTAGAATACAGAGAGTGTGTTCACAACGTCCTGTCGATCCATTCCTTCAGTCCAGTTTGGAGGTGAAAAGAACTAAAGAAAGATGCATCAGATTTGAAAACGCCACAGAAACCCAAAAATGAGCAACTTCTTATTTCACACAAATGTTTGCTCTTACTTTAGCAAGAATAAATCCACCTTCGTGATTAGTTGTGCCTGTCATGAATGGTACCGTGAGCAGTTCACGTTTTTGAAGCAGCTCATTTGCAGGTTTTTTTAGAAAGTGTCCGTCAATATTTATAGGATATCTCAAAGTAGGGTCCTTGGGGCAAAAAAAAAAAAAACGTAGAAAAGTGGAGACAGTTTGAAACACACTAAAACGTAATATTTAAAATAGAAATATTGAATAAAACATGTAAAACCTTTCATCCAACATCTCACCTTCCCAAATTCTATAATGGTATCAATATTGAGGTTTCTCAAGCAGTCACCAATCTTCTTRGTGCTTTCATGGCTGCAGCCAGATGTGTTTGCAACCATCTGATAACAGACAGTCTCATTCATTTAGAAAATCTAAAATATGCTTTGTTATTCTCAATATGCACTGAAAAATGTTTACACAATAAAATGTTTGACAACTAACCTGCATTACTGGGACAGGATCATTTATTAAAAGYATATCCATAGCAGCTGTTCCACTCTGAGCTATGGCACGATGGAACAGACCATCAGACAACGGTGAGAGGAGCTGTACGGTCAAAGAACAGGACAATTTAAAAAGTTCTGTTTGCAAATATTTTCCTAAAAATAACATTATGTCTAGGTTAATTCGTACCAAAAAGGACACGCTCATTCCACCTGCAGACTCCCCAAATATGGTGACGAGATCTGGATCTCCTCCAAAGTTGTGAATGTGCTCCTTGACCCACCTCAGGCCTTGGATCTGGTCCAAAAGGCCAAAGTTCCCTGAAACATGTTCGTCTCCAGTGCTGCATAAACCACAGGCAGTTACAGAACATCTGCTGACACGTGGCACAGATCGGATCAAACTAAGGAGGCTACAATCACATTTGGTCCACTTACCTGAGAAAGCCCAGAAGTCCCAGTCGATACTGGACCTGGACCACAACCACTTCCTGGTAGGCAGCCAGGGCAGACCCATCGTACAGTGAAGCAGACCCCATCGTAAAGCCTCCACCATGGATCCACACCATGACCTGTATAAGTAATGATGTATCAAAACATTCAGCTCATTTGACTTTTGGTATTTCAGCAACTTGTACTTTTTAAGCTATTTATTTTTTCTGCTGTTTTTTCTCATTGACAACAAATGGTGTTATATTTAGCATTCTTAAAACCTTTTAAAATGTTTAGAAATCTTTCCTGTACTTTTTACATTTTGTTCTGTTTCTGCTTTTTTCAAATTCTTTGTGCTAATTTTAGCTTCCTTTAACTTCTTTTATAATTTTAGCTTTTTTCTGCTCCTTTCAGCTATTCTTCTGTCAATTTAAAGGGGCAATATCATGTAAAATCAACAAGTTTTATATCATGTTATAATGTTATCGTCTCATCAAAAGCATGCTCAGAGTCTTACTTTGACTCATTCGTGCATGTTTAAATCCTGTGCTGTCCTGAAGCAGCCAGGCAGGGGAGCAAAAACGACCGGTTGGGACTAGAACCGCCTTTTGTGACCAGCTCCTCCTCTGGGCTGTGTCTCCAAGCTGAGCTTCCTCATCACAGAGCACACACCCACCCGGCCTGTGCTAAAATGGGCAGGACAGGATTGGAAGGAGGTTCTTAAAGAGACAGAGGCCAATTTCAAGGCGTTTAGAAACAGATATGATGAGAAGTCAAGTTTATTTTCTATTTAAAACATACTATAAAGAACATTTAAATAACAATTTAAGGTGACATAGTTACTTTATTATGGTATGGAATTTAAATATATGCCTGAGAAACACATAATATTGCCCCTTTAAATGAATTTAGGCTTCACTTTCTTTCTGCTAATTTAGGCTTTTATGCTTCTTTGTACCTATTTTCAGCTAATTTAATTATTTTCAATTCACCTTTTTGTGATAATGTGCACTTTCTGCATCTGTGTGCTAGTTTCAGCTTTTTCAGCTACTTTTTAGTTATTTATCTTCTAATTCAAGTTGCTAGTTATACAACTTGTAACTTTTTGTAATCATTTTCTTGCTTTCCTGCCTATGTTACCTTTTTTATTCTCTGTTTTAAACTTGTTTCTGCTGCTACTGTCTACTTTTGTTTTCCTACTTTCAGCAAAAGTCAGCTGCTGAAATTTAAGTCACATTAAAGAGTTTTGCCATTAAAACATTTTCACCTTCTTCAGCAGCCTTTAGGAAAAATCCTTCAAAATTAAGTTCAAACTGCTTTTTCGCAGGAAATGCAAATTCTTTAGTTCAGCTTGTAATGATGAGGTTTTTTTTAAAGCACAAACTAAATCAGGTTCTTACTGGGAGCTTGGCATCACGAGCTCTTTTTGCTGGTGTGTAAATGTTCAGGTAAAGACAGTCCTCTGAAATGTCAGGAAGGTCTGCCAACATGCCACCAAGTAGTTCTAGCAATTCATTCACAAGCTGCATGTTCTGAACGCACCTGAAAAAAGGAGATGTTTTTGTCAAAAAGCACCGAGCCGAACAACCAGAGTTGTGATGTGCCYAACCTGGATGGTGCATCATGTCTTACATGCTGGGCTGCTTGGTGGCYTCTCTCAGTCCCTCCCATTTCTCCACAGGTTGAGGTGCTGTCAGTCTCAAGGGGCCGACGGGGGGCTTGGCGAAGGGGACACCGAGGAAGGCGTGGACCCCGGTCTCCTTCCCCTTTACGCTCACATACTCACCTTTAAGGCTCCCGAGCTTTGTTTGGACTTCTGGTGCTGTCAGGATTTCAGATGTTAATCAKAATCATACAAAACCAAACCTGTGTGATTCTTTTTCTTTTGATTGTTTGTTTTTCACATTGATGGTGTGTGCTTAAATTTAAGATTTCRAAGCAAAATATGTCAACYGCTGCCAACTACCACATTTATTTTATTACATACAGAACCTGCATAAGTGACTGACAGGTCAACAATGGTGATGTTTAAGAAAGAGCTGAAAAATCCTGAAGTTCAACAAAGATGATACACTTAAAAGTACACACACACACTTCAAAATTACATAACAGATTCTGGAAAACAACTGAAGTAAACTCTTAAACTGCAACATTTGATGTAGCCCAGCAGGATATGTTTTGTTTGACATGCTGTATCTGGGATCACAAACTTTTTTGGGGAAAAAAATAGTAAACACTCCCACTTACAGTTCTGAAAGTTTGAGYTTCTCAGATTTCATGCCCTGTTTTTAATGTGCACATATATGGTTGGTTTCCTCTGTAGCTCTTCTACAGTCTTATGAGCAAAATGGGAATTGAGGAGAAACGCTTCACTTCACTACACAAGCTAATGATAAGCTAGAGGTAATATAACTTATCTGTTACCTTTAGCAGTGCTTTAGCCACAGAGTGCATGTAGGTAAAAGGTAACTATGGTTAAGGTCCATAAAACAAATAAGACTGGAACTAGTTTTAAGTGGAMTTTTTTGCAAAACTGTGACATTTTACTGGAGATAGATCTGCATCACACAATTCCCATGTTCAAAAACAAAWAAGTTTTCCTCTACTTACCATGCAGTTCTGCAATAACACCGAGAGATAAAGAAGACAAAAGAAAGAAAAGTTGCTTTGCACGGAACTTCATGGTCTGTTCTGGTGGGTTGCGTCACTCCTGCTGAGTTCTGCAGGAAGAGAGTCCGGGGAAAAAATAATAAATAATAAATAAAAATAYAAAATAAAAACCCGCAGCCGCCTCCAAGCTGGCGCGGACCACAGATTTGGCTGACAGATGACGTGTTTGTCTGAACCGACCTCGACACAAATAGAAACGATCTCGAGTCCTTTGGTCTGGACTTATACCGTTTACCTGCAAGATGTCACGTGACTCAACCTGAGGTCCACTCCTCTTCACGGCAACAAATAATGGACAAACTTTAATTGGTCCAAAAAGACCAGGAAGTTTTAAGGTAGACAAAAATACACGAGTGCTTTGTTTTTGTGTTGTAAGGCTGTTGATAGTAGGAGAAAACACGATTTTCTTTTATTTAACCTTGGTAACAGGAGGCTGACATGTCGATAACGGATTTATTTACTTTGCTCAGGTAGGCTATCATCAAAAAGCAGATATACTTCCGTTGATCGCGAGTTCGAGACCAGSTACCGCACATTTTATTGTTATGAGCGCCTAAAATGAACAGCAACTTGGTTTGATTGATATTTATGGATACTACTCGTTGTTAAAACACATTTTACCAAGCGTATCTACTTTTTAAGATTATTCTTGTTTTGTTAATAGTTTAGTTTAAAAAGTAGATAGGCTACCCCTGGTAAATACTGTATGTTTTAACAACAAATAATATCAGTAAGAAGAAATTAAACTCAAGAAATGCTTTTCAAGTGAAAACATGCACAAAATGTGGTARCAAACTGAAAAATTATGTTTGCTCCTACTATATAAAAAAACCTTACATAATTTTGGCCTATAATTAAATCTTGTCCATTTGTTGCCATCATGAGTGAAACACAGATGGAATCACATGACATCTTTAAGTATTTAATTAAAAATAATAAATTAATTAGACTATAAGGATAATGACATGAAATATAAATGATTGCATTACACAAGTTTAGCCTTTTATTGCAGTAACACTAACTGTATTTAACAAGAAACGTAAGTATAAAATACACAGTTTTTAAGAACACTATTAAAACTGTTCAACATTCAAACAAACAGAAGTGAATTAGACAAAATCAAAGTGCAGGCAGTACACACACAGCACTATCTTTGAATGTGGACTATTTAAGAGGCGGGAGGGTTTTCATTTCCAGATGTTTTGTTTTCCATGTAGCCTCGCTTCTCCAGTACCGCCCTCCATTCATCATAAGACTATCAGATTTTTCACAGTACCAGTTGAAAAAATACTGCCGGTGTAATGAAGGATTTCCATCTGTCTTGCACTTACTGCAAATGATCTTTTTGATATGTTTTCTTTTGCCAGTTCCAGTAAGATTGTTCTCCTGTTGTTTTCTTTTGTATTGTTGAGGCGTGTTTGAAGATCGTGTCTGAGCTGACAGGGGGTTTACCAAAGACACTGGAAGGCTCAGGAACATTTGAGGGTGTCCAGAAGTAGCCATCATTTGTGCAGGGGAAGATACAGCCGAAAGCAAAAAGAAAAAAAATTGTATAGGTCTTCTGGACGGGTTCTTCTCTAATGAAACGTTTCGTCTCTCCTCCAAGAGACTTCTTCAGTCTGAGAGTTTCAGGCAAAATTCAGGCTTTTAAGCACTGCTTCCATGTGACTGATATGGCTATCGTTGACACCTAATTAACACCTATTGTTAACAGGGGGTGGAGTGATACTGGCAATAGCAGCGCTGTAGGAGGGGGACAGCTGAAAACGGGGGCCTCCACCTCTGTTTAATGGGCAGTCTTTCTTCACAAAAATGGCTTCTTTTACTCCTCTCTCAAACCAACGTTCCTCTCTATCAAGAATGAGAACAWCCTCATCTCTGAAAGAGTGACCGCTGGCCTGTAAATGAGTGAAAACTGCAGAGCTCTGGACATTTCACTCATTTACAGGCCAGCGGTCACTCTTTCAGAGATGAGGATGTTCTCATTCTTGATAGAGAGGAACGTAGGTTTGAGAGAGGAGTAAAAGAAGCCATTTTTGTGAAGAAAGACCGTCCATCATTAAACAGAGGTGAAGGCCTCCGTTTTCAGTTGTCCCCCTCCTACAGTGCTGCTATTGCCAGTATCACTCCACCCCCTGTTAACAATAGGTGTTAATTAGGTGTCAACGATAGCCATGTGATGTGAGTATCAGTCACATGGAGGCAGGGCTTAAAAGCCTGAATTTTGCCTGAAACTCTCAGACTGAAGAAGTCTCTTGGAGGAGAGACGAAACGTTTCATTAGAGAAGAACCKGTCCAGAYGACCTATACAATTTTTTTTTCTTTTTGATTTTTTTACCTGGATTACTGAGATGCATCAGGACATACAGCCAAAAGGGTCACTGATGGCACAATGATGGTTACAAAGGCAGCTACTGGTGCTGCTAGAAGGACCTGGGGAGTCTGGGGACATAGCTTGGGGTTTCAGTTCACTCTTGAGCTTTGCTTCCTCAGTAGTGTTCTTTAAATGCAGGTCTACAGGAAGATTCGGAGGTCCCGTCACAGGKGGGACCAGAGCTGCAGCACCCTGTGTGGATGTGGAGCTGGTTGCTGGAGGCGTCATCCCTGGAGGAGGGACTTACAAAAGAGGTGGGTGTGGAGCTTGCAGCAGCTGGGGCTGCAGCTGCTTTAGTAGTTTCTCTTGTAGATTACGAGGCAGCAACCTTTTGTTCTGTTTCACTCGTGGCRGTCATGTCAAATACTCCTCAACTTCAGGTCCTAAACGTTATCCGGAGCTGTGTTCTGTGAAAGGTAAACAAATGAAAGATGAGAAAGAAAAAAATTCGAGCCAGCCAGGAGTCGAACCTAGAATCTTCTGATCCGTAGTCAGACGCGTTATCCATTGCGCCACTGGCCCGAGATGGAGTTGTGTAGGGAAGACTGGCCTGAAATTTAAAAAAACTGATCGACGCAGCTTACATGGGAGAATTTCATGAACTCTGCCATGAGAGAAACGCTTTGAACGTTTAAACATACTGCTGACTTAACTGAGTAAAAACCAGTGGTGGGATGTAACTAAGTACAAGTACTTTGTTGCTGTACTTAAGTACATTTTTCATGTATTTGTACTTTACTTAAGTAGATTTCATCATGGGTACTTTTGACTTTTACTCCATAAAATTTTACATTAAGCATCTGTACTTTCAATTCTACTACATTTATGTAATGCGTTGAATTACAAATTACATTCATGTCACGTTGCTTTATTAATTAATTAATTTATTTATTTATTTATTTTTGTGTTTTTTTAAGTAATCAGTGGAGAGGGGGGATTGCAGTCCATTGAACCACTGCAAAGCAGGAAAGTACCATTAACTCTCCTTCATAATAAAGCAGAGCATCAGCATGCCCACAATGGTTTCCACCACAGAGGAAATGCGACATTCATGGCCTTCTTTAAAAGACTTATTCAAGTTAACTGGTTCAAAAAAAATGACTCGTTGAGATTTGATAGAGGGGGTTGGTGGTGAATTTACAGCTTCTGCTGCTGTTGTCACAATCTGTGATGATGCACAGAATCACAAGTCCAAGTGTGGACAGTGTCACAGAGGGTAAACAACACAAAAATATGCATAATCTGCAGCATTGTTCACTAAAATGGCATCATTGATGTATTAAAATATACATACTAGAGTAGGCACACTTCATGATATTGTGGACCATTAGGGAATACATTACGTACTTTTACTTTTAATATAAGTATTTTTAAAAGCAAGTACTTACTTTTACTCAAGTAAAATGTTAATGTGGTACTTTTAATTGTACTAGAGTACATTCTTGTCTGTTTATTTGTACTTTTACTTAAGTACAGTGTTTGAGTACTTTCTCCACCACTGGTTAAAAAACAAACAAAAAAAAAACCTGTCGAGTTTTCTGCAGAAAAAAAAGTCAAAATTATGATTTTTTTTTAACTCATACATTAGCTTCCACTATAATTATATTATATTGTTGCATTCAACCACTATACAAGTCATGACACAACAACAATTAAATATGAAACCCTTGTTTTGTCCTTTACCTGCCCAGTTGCTGGTTTAGAGCGGCCTCTGCAGACCGTCACCGCCATAGTTGAAGCCAAGAAGAAACCAATAACAGAGGGCGGGCACGTGGCGGGCACGAGCTCTCGCGAGGAACAAAAATAAAAAAATCTCTCGCGAGAAACGACGCACTGAACGAACGGCATTTCTGGTTGCCAGATATGAACGAAATCAATTGCTTCAGGACTAAAGAATAAAAAGAAAATTCGCCAAATCTGAGGTGTTGTTCTTGGACAGCTTCAATTTATACTAGATAAAACGCTATTTAATGTAAACATTTGCATGATACATTGAACTCAGTCGGTATTTTAACATAATTTAATAAGCACAATCAGAGTAAAACGAGGCAACCACGAAGCAAAACAGGAAGTGTTCCATGGCGCGAAGTTAACTAGCATTATGAAAGCAGATACACTCGCTGCTGAATAACTACTCTCACTGAAGTCAGCTGTCTAATTTTAAATACAGTAAACTGACCTKAAATCTGAAAACTGAAATTACGACATACCGAGCTGATTTATAGCGTACGTTAGGTGAACCATGAAGGCTGAAATCGATAAAATCATCTCCCTTTCTGATGGAGATCGAACCACCGAACTTCAGAAGTACCTAACATCTCTGACTAATGACCAAGTAAGTTATATTAACAACTGACAACGAAACATGTGTCTACTTATAATACATTAAGTGTATGTGGTTGCTTACCTTCTTATTACATGGCTTCTAGATTATTACTGTGATAACCAACAGTGCACTCAAGGGTAAGAAGGTCTGTAACATGCTTAAAGGCATATTAAAAGGTATGTAAAATGTGTTGTCTTGTTTATATATCCAWTTTCTGATTTAAAGATCATACGTTTTCCTAATAAATCTCAACCACCTTCTAGAATCAATACAAATACTGTATGAGTTTGTTGTGTTTGCTCTTAGGCTCTCCACCTAATTCCACTGAAGGGACAAATCGCAGACTTCTTGTATATGAACACTGTATTCCTCTGTGTGAGTCTGGGGATCTTCAAACTGAGGTAGCAGCTGATATTATTGGTCTGCTGATGCTTGAGGTAAAACAAAAAATGTATATTTGTCTTAATGGTATCTTACATGTCATCGTACCATATGTTATGTT